TGGCAAGATCCAGATACTTGGGCCATCTTTTGCTGCTTTCCCAGGCACATTAACAGGTAGCTGGATTGGATGTGGAGCAGCCAGGACTCAAACTCGAAACCGTATGGGATGGCAGTGTTGGAAACTGAGACTTAACCCACTTTGCCACAACACCAGCACCGTAGGTGCTTTCTTTATGTAAAGCATTGTTAAGAACTACAGAAAAAAAAAAAAAACTCAAAAGATTGCTCTTAGGTACAGCATTGTAGTGTAGCAGGTTAAGCCACAGCTTGTGATGTTGGAATCCCATATGGATGGTGGTTCAAGTCCCAGGTGCTCCACTTCCAATCTAGCTCCTTGCTGATGCACCTAGGAAAGCCCAAGTGCTTAGACCCCTGCACCCATGTGGGAGATCAGATAGAGTTCCATCCATTGTGGCCATTTGAGGAATGAACCAGCAGATAGGAGATGTCTCTCTCTCTGCTTCTCCCTCTCTTTCTGTGTAATTCTGCCTTTCTAATAAATATATACATATTTTAAAAAGATCTCTCTTAACCAATTTTGTCTCAAAATAGCGGGACTAGATTGGTCCCAAGGAATTCATATGGGCTGGACAGGCATATTCCTAAACCAATCCAGAAATAAACCATCTGTTTATTTTCAAGATGATTAAAGAAAGATATTTGGCAGCTTCCCCAGTGACCTATGATATTCCAATAATACTCTCTTTTGCTTAACAAAAATATAAGAATGCAGAGATGAAGCTTTTCAATGTTCCAATCAGTAAATGCTACTTATGTACTATAAACTTGGCTTATCTTATAGGACCAACAATAAAGAGTAATGTGGAAACCATAAACTGTCATCTCCTGGCAGTATCTCCTGTTATTATGAACATTGGTAGATTGAAGTGGTTTTTCAAAAGGGCTTAAGTATTTGGGGCACAATTCCAAGGACATTGTGTTCTACTCAATGTCAACAATTTCTACTGTGTCAATCCTATAAAGATTAAAGGCCACTTTGGAAAGGCAGTAAGATTTCAGAGTACAGGCACAAAATGAACTTGACCATTACTCCAGATTTTTTTATTTCCTTTTATTTTTGAAAAGCAGTAATCATTTGCAAGTACTGTTCCTAGAGTTCCTACCACATACACCCTTAGGTCACGAACAAATTGGTTGCTGAGAAGTGGTTAGGGATTGAGAAATTGCCGACACCTTGGTGAGAAAACCATAGAACCACATTTAGACAACTTAGAGGGTCTCCACTCTCAGGTAGCTCTCATTCAGCCAAGAGACATCTCTCAGCCCTCCAATGGTACTGCTTTAGGAATTCACACACACAAAAGTAGTTCTCAAGTTGTCTAGTCTAAAAGTAGGCCATAGTGGAAAGGAGCCCTTCCAGGTACTTTTGTGAGACAAGAGGCAGTGTCGTGTGGTTGCCAGTCCTCCATACACATGTATTTCTTTAGCAGGTTTGGGTTTTCTGTGGAATAAGAACAGAGAATCCAGAAACTGATAGTTGAAAGACTAATGAATGAAATCTTTCATCTACTTGGTGTCTTTGTCAACCTTTGTTATGGTGGGCCTTTATGATCTTTTTAAGAAATGTTCCATGGTTCCTGTTCCTAAGATTACCAGGCTACATCCTCTTCTCTATCAGCACTCTTGATTTCTCCTTCCACTTTTGTGTTATAAATGCTCAGATCATGGAATTGTAAGGACCTTGTACGAAATTATACTCAAGTTGGCATTGTTCTGCAAAGAACTACATTAGGAATGTGGGCACATTTTGTTGAACTATAATACTTTTCTTAATGTTCCCAGGTGATTGAGACACATGTATTTTTAATAATTTTTTGCAGCAAATAGTTTTGTATGAAGTTATTTTACAGAGGAAAATGCAGATTTTTCCAGATTTCCCTAAGAGAAGAATTGTAACAAGAATTAGTTATTCTGAAGGCTGCCCAAGCCATTACTTACCCCCAGCCTCTGTCCTCTCCATAACTATTTTTGTGTTCTGGGTAAAATATCTCTGCCCATTTCTCTCAGAACACACATTAGCCTTTTCCAAAATTGGCCATGTTTCCTTAGCAGTCAACTTATACCCCTGGGGCTTTTTAGTCTCTGTTTTTACTCCCTAGAAACAGAAAAAATGCATGTGGAAGATTTAAAAGTTTCACTTTCCAAAGTTCTCTTTCTTTTGGGAAGCTTAAAATGTCTAGAACAAACTTATCTCTCCATTCCATCAACCATATAGGAGACAGAAAAGCATGTTTTATGAGCAAAGGCTTTAAGAGCAGGAAATTTCCTTTCTGCTATTTACTAGCTACTGTCACTGGGCTTTAGTTTCCTCATTTATAAAATAGAAATATCAATACTGCTTGCCTCCACAGGGTTGGAGTGAGCATTGTATGAGATAACGCATATAAAGAGTTTCAGCTGGTGTCAGGCATGGAGAAAAATCTCAATAAATGTTAGTGATGGTGGTGGTGATGATGATAAAGGATTTGGTGTCTTGAAAAGTTGTATTGCAGTGCTACAACATAGCATTTTCAGATAATCAGATCACATAATCTGCCAAGGTTATTTGATTTTGCTATGTCAGAGGGAAAATTACTTCTTTGTCACTTAATGGCTGCCATACATTCTTATTCAGTTGGAAAGTGTGTGGTGTTAGACTTTGTGGTGGTCAGGAATTTTTCACAAACCTTTTTTTAAAATTAACACAACTTTTAATATTGTATAATGTACCCAAAAGACTTTTTATAAGTATTTCTTTGATTAAAAATAAAATTATCTTGCAAAACTGTACTAATAGAAAAGATCTTGACCTTATGAAGATTTAGAAGACATTTATTTAGATAATTTTCATTTTACTTGAAAGGGAGAAAGAGAGAGAGAGAGCGCGTGCTTCCATCTGCTGGCTTACTCTCCAGGGCCTGCAACAGGGTGGGTCAGGTCAAAGCCAAGAGCCAAGAACTCTGTCTGGGTCCCCCACATGACTGTCAGGGACAGTCATTGTACTTGAGCCATCACCTGCTGCCTCCCAGAGCACAGATGAACAGGAAGCTGGAATCAAGAGTGGAGCCTGAATTCTAAGCACTCCAATATGGAATGTAGGCATCATAACTGCTGCAGCAGACACCCTCCTCAAGACATTTTTTTAAACTAAAAGGAATTAAATTAGCAAATAACACCATGGAAACTACCTATGCCTGCTCTCTTTTTATAAGTATTCAACCTCCACTCACCCTTGCTTTTGCTTAGAACAGTGCCTATCACACAGTGAGATGAAATGATTGCCATTAATTAAACATCTTCATGTTAGAGGTCTTTGTACCAAGCCATGGAATCCAAGCTGGGGTGACAAGAAAGAATCTACTGAAAGACTGTGAGAGAGCCCACAGAGTTGACATGAAACTGGAGGACTGCATTTGAGAATGAGCAGAAGCAAGAGAGCTTTGTCAAGTTAGGGGCAGGAGCCTAAGTTGTAGTCATTGTAGTAAGGAGCATCTGCCACAGGGAAAGAGAACTTGCAGACCACTCTCTTCAATATGTGGGTAAATACTCCAGGATCAGAATTTGCTGAGAGTTTGTGACTGGTCAACTCATATCACAGGCTCACAGCAGGGCTGTTACCGAAAGCCATAAATGAAGAGAAAGGATCTGATCCAGGGTGGGTGTTTGGCGCAGTGGTTAAGATGCCACTTGGGATGCCCACATCCCATATCAGAGTGTCTGGTTTGAGTCCTGACTCCTAATTCCAGCTTCCTGCTAATGTGCATCCTGGGAGGCAGCAGGTGATGGCTAAAGATCTTGATTTCTTGCTACTGATGTGGAAGACTTGGTTTGAGTTCTGGGCTCCTGGCTTCACCTGATCCAGCCCTGGCTGTTGGAGACATTTGAGGGGTGAACCAGCAGTTGGGAGATCCATGTCTGTGTCTCTTTGCCTTTCAAATAAATCAAAATCAATAAATGGAAAAAGATAAAAAAACAAATAATCTAACCCAACCACTTTCTATAATGGGAGCTGGTTCCTAGACAGCTATACACAGAGGAGGAGAGGCAATTTCCCAGAAAGAAACTAGGATTCTACTAGAAACAGGAATTGATGCTGGGTAGCCAAAACTGGCAAATGCCCATTGTTCCACATTGTTAATTATCTGATTCTTGATGTCAGCATAGTCTGTAATCTATCCAATCTTTATCTAACCTCTGTAAACCTTAATACACGGTTTGAAATAGTCAGTTTTGCTATTCTTTTCCCCTGTGTGATCCAAAGACAGTTCTGCATGTCTTCATCCTGCTGTCATCCAAGTGAGAATATCCTTCTTAAGAGGTTAGGATGGGCCGGCGCCGCGGCTCACTAGGCTAATCCTCTGCCTTGCGGCGCCGGCACACCGGGTTCTAGTCCCGGTCGGGGCGCCGGATTCTGTCCCGGTTGCCCCTCTTCCAGGCCAGCTCTCTGCTGTGGCCCAGGAAGGCCGCGGCGGCCATTAGAGGGTGAACCAACGGCAAAGGAAGACCTTTCTCTCTCTCTCTCTCTCACTGTCCACTCTGCCTGTCAAAAAAAAAAAAAAAAAAAAAGAGAGAGAGAGATTAGGATGAGAACTCCGAAGCTGGGAGTATTGTTACATAAGCATTAGATACTAGATCAATGAATTTAATTTGTGCCAATTTGTTAGTCATTTTTATAACTAAGTGTTCATGAAGAATTTGATATCTAATTTTATTTTTAAAAAAGGATGCCAGGATGAGCTACTTTTATTTATTTGTCCAAATACATACAAGTAAATTCAAAGCTCTTATTCACTGTCAGTTAAAAACCACTAACACAGCAATGGAGAAATTTTGCTAATCTTTGACTCCATCAAAGGAAATGCTTCTGACACATAGGATCCTGTCACTTTGAAAACAGCTGTCTTAAACCGGGTGGTTTGTTTGGTTTGGTTTTTGGAATACTATCCTAATTTTAGATATTAACCCTTTTCAATTGTTACCTTTGCTTTTATGTACCAGGGGAAAACTTATCCATTTCGTGGTGCCTTCCCTCCTGTATGGAATCCTGTTGCTTATCTAGATTACAACAACTTGTGGCGAACCATGGACAGCATGGGAAAGGAGGTAAAATATGTGTTGACCTTACACATGGCCCATTACTAAAATAACAATGGCAACTGTTTAACATCCTTTCACAGTACAAGGAACACTGTTCCCGACATTGATGCATATTGTTTCCAAACCCTCAGCAACTCTGCAAAGCTGGTAGTATTTCTTCTTGACAAATGGGGGAAATGAGTGCCCAGATGTTATGTAATGTACCCAAGACCACACAGCAAGGGAACCAAGATTCAAACCCCTTCTAGCTGATATTAATGCCTGTGTGCCTTTGAGTACACCACTGAGCATTGTAATGATGAATTTTTCTAAATATCTCTACTTTTGACATTTAAGTCTGCTTTTTTTTAACCAACTTTGTTGAAGTATAATTAACAAAAATTATCTTTGTGATGTATAATATGATATCTTGATATATCTACATATTGTGAAATAATATGTTTGGGTTATTTTTAAGCTCAGCTGCTAAGAAACAGAGTGTCAACTGAATCAAGGCACACACATATCTTTCAAATTACCCTTTGGTACATATGTTCCCTGCATTGAACGTTTTATTCATAAACCTATCTGGGTACCATGAAAAAACATCATAAAATAATTGTGAATTAATTAAGCTGATGAATATCAATAGCTGTCACCAGACTGCCTCTTTATGTTCTAAGTGAACACTAGTTCTCAGAGATTTAAGTTAAATAATTGCATGGGGGCAATACATGTTGCTTTAAACAGAAATTGCACATATAAAATCTACACAGTCCAGTGTCTGAGAGTTGTTCTGGCACTAGTCACAGAGCCTTCACTTTTCCATTGCTACCCTTTTATTTAAATTTATTACCAAGCTGATTAAAGTCATCTTATGCACCTATAGCTTGTAAAGGAAAGAAGGATTTGCTGCCTCAAGGCTTTATTTTTACTTAATCTGAGGCTATAGAACATCATTCTCTGAAACTTGAATTGGGATCCCAAAATGGGTATTACCTTTCAATAATAATAAATATTGATTATGGTCAGTCATCATAATCCCAATTACCTAAATGTATAAGTATATTATATAAATATAGATAATAAAATAAAAATTTATACATGCTATTAATATTGTTTTGGCAGCAGCATTAAGGCACAGAATGCAAAGAGCTCTCCTGCTTCCTAATCTCCATGTAGAATTATATGCCAGTCACACATTCCAACACAGAAACCAAGAGACCAGTTTTCAGAGGTTCTCAGGTAGGCCTCTCAGGTAGGCCATGGCACTTACCATCACATGTGACTATGGGACCTCTTTTCTCTGCAGATCCCAGCAGATGCACCTTGGCAGGCACCTCATGCTGAAGAGTGGGACAAGATGACCATGAAAGACCTTATTGATAAAATATGCTGGACAAAGTAAACTTGACTATTTAAAATTTACTTTTATATCTTTCCTTCCTATCCTTTCTACCCTGCCTTGAGCTGCAGTGCTTTTCCTAATAATTTATAGGAAATTTGTTGAGAAGAATCCTAATATTCTCTCAATCAGTAGCTACTTTGAGGCCACTTTAGACCTTTCAGAGCAGATTTGAGCAGAAAATGAATGTATACCTTAAGAAAAGTAGGTAAATGAAGTAGAATTTCTTTTCATGAAAGTGTTGTATGATCTATAATAAAACCAGTAATTGTGTTCTACATTACATAGAGATTGGCTACAAAAGCAGTTTGTAAGGGATTTAAAAGTAGTTCCATATAAATATATGGAATACTGGAGGGAGCTGGTCTGTATCAATGAAAAATAGAAACGATATGTTTTCCATTAGAATTTGTATTATTAGTTCAATTGCTTACAGTTCAGTAGTACAGTTGTGTATCACATAACAATGGAGCATGTTCTGAGAAATGCTTTGTTAGACACTTTTGTCATTGTGCAGACATCAGTGTGTACTTTACATGAACAAGGACAGCTACAGCATCACTAGGTGTTGTAGTCTTGTGAGATCATCATCATATATGTGGTCCCTCATTGATCAAAATGTTGTTATACAGTGCCTGACTATATGTATTTTTATGTATTAATATGTATAATATTTATGTATTCGATGTATGTGTTTATTTGAAGCCTCATACATAAGGAAACTGTACTAAGCACCGAGGAATAGTGGTGAACTAGATAGAAATGGCACCTAATCTCATGAAGTGCACATTCCTCAGAGAGGCAGTACTCATACTGAAGACATAATTACATAATAGTAGGAGACTGCCTGTAATATGAGGACCTTACCTCATCTGAAGGTAAAAGGAAGCATTCCAAAATGCACTCAGTTTTAAACTGAAACTACAGAGTTAGCACTTCAACTAAAAATGAGCCTCAGGGGCAGAGGGAGACAGGAAGGGTGGATGGTTTGGGGAATAATATCTTCTAGGAATAACTCACAGGAGAGGGGAGATTGAGAGGGCAGATACTGTGGCAGTATAGTATCTTTTACAATTGATCCACTGTGTGATATAGGATACACAGAGAGAGAGAATGGTATCTTCCAGGAATGACCTAAATTGCTATTATAAGACAGGGAATCTGGGATGATGTTGGGGCATGGTAGGTTCTTAACCATGGAGGCAGTGAAGAGACAGAAAGGGGGT